CACCAGGGATGTTGTGCACAACCGTGGTGACATTGCCACCTCATCCACGAAACCATCCTTGTTGTTTATAGTTTTATCTGGTGTTTAAATTGTAAAAATCCCGACTAGGTCCCGACAGGGTCGGCCCAAGGGCTAGGCGAATTGGGCCACATCCCAGGGCATCACAGCAATAGGGGCATCAACTCTCATCCACTTATTATAGGTTTAATATTATTTTCAACCAAAATTTTGGTCCACAAGGGAGTCCGGTAATGGGCAAAAGAAAGATAAAACTGTAAAATTGGTCCCTATGGTATACAAAAAAGTTTGGATAGGGTCCAAAAAGTTTTCAAGTTGCATAGAAGGTCCAAAATCAAAAAAAAATTTGGTTTTGGTCCTTGGTAAACTAGAATTGACAAATTTGCCTTTTTCATTTCTTTTTTGTATTTTTTTGAAATTATTTTAAATAATTTATTAAAATAAAAAAAAGAAAAGAAAAGCATTAGCCTATCCACCCCTACCCCACCGATGCCCTCCTCTTTTATCTCTCTCTTTCTCTCTCTCTCTCTCTTTTTATGCCATTTTCATACTTCCAGTCCTCTAAGCACATATCTTTTAATAGGAGGCTATGGAAACGAACCTCAACAAGAATCATATGTCATCAAGATCCATACTATTGGTGGTCGTCTGATCAAAAAAGAATTCAGCTCGATGGTCACCTCACAATCACATCTGGATTTTTTTTATCTTCATCCAGATTGGTCTCTTGTAGATAATGGTGGCTGTTGATTATCTGGAAATCTACGAAGAAGACGAAGGATGGAGATGGAAATTTCATTGAAATTAGATGGGTCCTGGGTCTTCATTCGTGTATAAAAGAGATACAGGGTATGATTTTTCATTTTTAATGCAATTTTCGGTGTTGAAATCCTCTTCACTAGCGCATCTTCTTCTTTATGAGAATTTGTTAATGGGTCGATTTTAAGATTTTCGTAATAAATTTCGTTTTTTTTTGGCATCGGCGATGTTACAGATATAAATGCCCAAATTTTTTATCTAAAATTCTTTGTGTTGATGAATGGGAATTGTTTGTCGATTCTTGTGAGCTTCGAAATGGGAAGGTAATGAAAATTAATCAAAATGAGTTTTCAAATGTATGATTTTTCGTTTGTGATGGAGTTCCATGGACATGATCGAAATTCTAATTTTGTTTGGATTCAATGGAGTGAAGTTTGCCTTGGCTGAATAAGATTAGAAAGAAGATGAAGGATGACCGAATGTTGGAGAGATGTGGTACCCTGGTAATTGTTTCTCTAGATAAGTGGTGGCACATCAGATAGAGAATAGACTGATGACAGATGCTAGATGCATGTGCGAGATCGGAAGGCGAAGATGGTCGTAGACGATCTTGGTAGCCATGGTTATGCAACTAGTCGTTTCTGAGGCATCCGTGAAAGTTTTCGGCAGAGATAGTATTTTGTTGTCTCCAATGGATCTGAAATAAAGCAATGGTGGGGTGGGAAAATGAAGATCTAGACCAGTTAATACATAATTTGGTAGAGAAGATGACGAACATGAGAATTTATTTGTGTATAAGTGGATTTAGGATTTAAAGGTGTAGTTGTGTAGGGTTTAATGTGATTGGAGAGAGAGAGAGAGAGAGAGAGAGAGAGAGAGAGAGAGAGAGAGAGAGAGAGAGAGAGAGAGAGAGAGAGAGAGAGAGGATAATTCCTTTTTTCTTATTTTTTTTAAAGTTAAATACTATTAGAATAATTATAAAATAAACAAAAAAAGAAAATAAAAGGACATAACCGTCATTTCAAGTTTTTTTAGACTAAAATCGCAAAAATTTCTTTATTTTGGACCTTCCATGCAAATTAAAAACTCTTTGGACCCTATCCAAAGTTTTTTGCAAACCACAGGGACCAATTTTGCAGTTTTGTCCAAAAGACAAACTAGTACAGAGCACCAATTTTAAAAATCGGAAGACGAGGAGACGGGGTTGCTTCAAGTAGATTCAGGAAACGAGGAGACTGATGTGTTGTTTGTTTTTTCTGAAGCAAAATGTTTGCAGTCTACGGACCACATCTGTAGACCTCTGCAGTAGAAGAGGTGGACCAAACGTCTGCAGTTTGAAAAAAGAAGATTGTTTGTTTTTTTAACATCTGCGGGTTACTAAAAGAAACTAAAATATAAATAAACCGACTTTTCTAAATTTCAAAGTGATTTTTAAATATTTTTATGAGTTTGTTATAAATAATTAACAAATCTAGATCAACTTTTATTTATTATTGTATAAAAAGTGAAAATAAAAATGGTATGAATTAACGTATATATTTGATAAAAACCAACAATTTTGGTTGCAAAGATATACCTAAACATTGTAATTGGGAATCAAAGAATTTGATACATAAATGGATGGAAATAAACTTAGATTTTTTCAATTAAATCAATTAAAAACGTACCATAAATATTTTCCCATGAAATCGACGAAATTGTATTAAATAATGTTTTATAAAATTTGGCACAAAAAATATAAGAATATATTATGATTTTTTTTCATATTTATATAAACAACTTCAACGACCATTATTGTAATAAATCTTTATTTATAAATTTGTCAAAAAAAATATCATGTTTGTGACATCGAACGTTTTTTTTGAAGTATTGTAAATTTTTTTTTCAAATTGTTTATCATTAATAAAGTTGGAATAATTATAAATTAAAAAAAGCTTAAAAAATTAAAGTTATATGTGTTTTTTTAAGCTAGAAGATGTCTGAAAATGTTAGAAGACTCTAGTCCACATTTGCGCCAAGAAGAGGGTGCGCATACATTTTTAGATCTGCAGTCTTAAAAAAAACAAACAGTCTGCAAAGGCTAATGTATGTACGTGGTCTGCGTGGCGCAAACAAAAGAGGCCACGAAGATCTGCTTGACAAAAAACAAACAACACCTGACTGTTGGACGCAAGCAAACTCTGTCGTCGTCTGCCCCTAACTCAAATCCAGTTATTCCAACGGTCATAATTATAACCGCCATTCATATCGCCGATCCTTCTCCGCTCCAGACTTTTGATCTCCGGCTCCAGCGCCAGCTGTAGTCGTTTCCTTCTCTGATCCGATCAACTGGTAAGTCCCGTTTCTTTTTCTGGTTTTGTAAGCACATACTTTTTTATTTTCTGGAATCGATAGTGAACATGAATTTCTTGTTAGATTTTGAATCTATAGGTTAATTTATATCTCATTCCTAGTTTAATCGAATTCCTGATTTTTGATTTTGTTTTAATCCCAATTTTTTTTTCTGTGAATCGGTAAACCTCGTGTGTTCAAGCGATTTTTTTTATTTGAAATCGATCTAGCACAGGTTACAATTTTTTTATCTGATTTTATCATATGTATTTTTCAGGATACGGTACACATCCTAGATCTACAACGAGATGATCTTTTTATCTGATTTTATCATATGCATTTTTGAAATAGGGATGAAAGGCTTTAATTGGTGTTCTTGTTGTCCATAGGGTAGACATCAATAGGATACATGACTGCAATCTGACATTTATTTAGTGGGTTAATTCTTTGTGGGTATAATTATCAATATCTTGGGTGGGGTTTCACTTGGCATACATTTTTCTTTGGTTATCTCTCACATATGTGTAAGTGTTTTAATGACACGAGTTAAATGGTTTGGTTGTAATTGATCTCAACTGGAACGAGTTTTTTCAAGGTAACAAGGAATCATAATCTGGAGTGGGTTCTCATGGTGATAGTTGAAGGGAAGTTCCTTGTTCGCTTCAATTTCAAGAAGAAGACTCTCACGAATGTAATGACACTTTGAAGATCGAAATGGAAGATCACTCTTGGAAGGAAAATCAAGAAATGGCACATAATATTTCTTTGTTATCAAGATTAAAGAGATGGTGCTCCCTTGTTCTTATGTCACTACATTAGGACAAGTATAGCTGTTTTGCCAAAACCAAAAAAAGTCCATTTTACCCTATGTGCCGGAAAGGATTGCCTGGATGGATAACAAGATTGATGATATGCTCACATCTTCTCGTGGTTCTACATCATATAGTTTGGGTTGATTGCCAAAAAGCCCGTTTGACCCTTTTGCCCATCTTGTTTTAGAATCTTCTTATATAGTTGACTAGTTTTTCTTTTCCCGGATGTTATTTGTTTTTATGGCCTCTATTTTTGTTGCTTTAGTTAGTTTGTACTGTGACCTCCAGCTTCATGCTGGTTTTCTCGTTTATATATTTGTCTCTATGGTTCAGAAAAAAGATAATTATATTAAAATCTTAATATAGCTTGTAGTGGTTAATGTCTTCAGTGGCATTTTAGTTAATACTATTTGTTATTTTCTTTTGGTTTAACTATTAAGATATGTATTTTAAATAAATCTCTAGATTTTTTTAGTGTTGCAATTAATATCATTACATTGTATATATATGTCTGTTGTATTTTTAAATAAAAATGACTTCATTGTGGTTGTATGGACATATGGTACAAGCATTGGGCATCATATCTCAATACAAACTATTTAATCTCTGCCAACACAATAAGCGAAACAGTAGCAAACGATAAAATTTCAACACTTTGAAGAAATTATATATCAATACAAACTATTTAATGATTAATTAGTGTTGTATTAATCATATTAACATATTTCATTATGATATTAGTGATATTTACAAACTTTGTTATGATATTAGTCGTATTTAATTTTTTTTAAATTCAAATACTAGCAATTTAGAGTCCCCGGTTAATCACCATCTAACTGATTAATCTTTTAACCCCTGTCCATCAACTAGCTAAAGTCAAGCGTTTTTTACAACCTTGGTTTTACAATTAAGTTATTTAACAATGTTATACATTCGACGATACCATGATTTTTTTTTGTCCGAATAAAAGCATCTAACTTCTAGGTAAGACATGCTTGTAACATTCAAATAAGACAAATAAAGAGTAATTATTTGATCACAAGAAAAAATTATTGAATTGTATATAAAGTTGTTCAACACGAAATTTTTTATATCACTACAAAAAAATAGATACATAACATGACTAAATTGATAAAATGAGAAAAGTACGTTGTGCTAAATTGTTAAATTGTTGTACTTGTAAGACCCAAAATGAAGGCTCACAAAAACTTGTCTGCGGTATCAAGATTGCTCATGATTTCTGACTTGACTGATTCTGGAAGTGGAGCAGATGGGCCCGCCTTTGAGTAGAAACTTGCCAGTGCTCTAATTGCTTTCACAATCACAACATATGATTCCTACACCACAATTTACCCCAAAGAAATTTACATTGCATTGCTATTTTTTATAGAGTAAATTACACGAATGGTCCCTATGGTTTAGAGTGATTTGTACGTTTGGTCCCTAACTTTTTTTTTTTTTTAACTTGGAAAGTCCCTACTGTTTGTTTTTGTTAGGCGTTTGGTCCCTGTCTTATCTATAAAGACTATTTTGCCCTTGATTTTTTAATTTTTTTAATTAACACACCCCCAACCTCACCCCTCGCCTTACCTTACCTACCCCACCATTTTTAATTGTTTTTGTTACGCGTTTGGTCCCTACTGTTTGTTTTTGTTACGCGTAACAAAAACAAACAGTAGGAACCTTCCGAGTTAAAAAAATAAGTTAGGGACCAAACGTGCAAATTAACCTAAATCATAGGGACCATTCGTGTAATTTAGTCTTTCTTATATTTACAATTTACCCCAAAGAAATTTACCTCATTTATTACTGTTTTCTCTCCCCTCCAACTGCCTAGATACTCGTGTATGGATGCCTTAGCTGCATCTGCAGTGCGTCTAAATTTTGCCATGTCATTCGGATCTTCATTTAATGATTCCCTTAAAGTCTTCACTACTTCTCGTGCTGAATTTAAGTACGCCTTTGGCAACACTTTCCCGGATTTTGTCTTCTCATTAGGGTCAAATAATGACTTAAATGCCCCTACTAAGCTTTCATCTTTCTCCTCTTGCACATTTGATTCCCAAGCTAGTGGCAATCCATAGTTGAATGCTAAGATTGAAACACTGAAATTTGCTAAGACATGCCGCCTGTTGTTACACCATGTGTCTTTACAAACAATGTGACAGGTGAACTGTGGTTTGTGTTTATCTGATAAGTAAAAAACGGGTTAAATGCAAGAAATAGCAATGTAGTTTTATTTATTTGTGTATTGTTGAATCCTAGTGTCACTTTCTTTGCTTAGGGACATCGTGATTTAGGTTGTGTTGGCGCGCCACAACTACTAGCTTTTTAAAAAAGCCTGTTGTTACACCATGTGTCTTTACAAACAATGTGACAGGTGAACTGTGGTTTGTGTTTATCTGATAAGTAAAAAACGGGTTTAAATGCAAGAAATAGCAATGTAGTTTTATTTATTTGTGTATTGTTGAATCCTAGTGTCACTTTCTTTGCTTAGGGACATCGTGATTTAGGTTGTGTTGGCGCGCCACAACTACTAGCTTTTTAAAAAAGCCTGTTGTTACACCATGTGTCTTTACAAACAATGTGACAGGTGAACTGTGGTTTGTGTTTATCTGATAAGTAAAAAACGGGTTAAATGCAAGAAATAGCAATGTAGTTTTATTTATTTGTGTATTGTTGAATCCTAGTGTCACTTTCTTTGCTTAGGGACATCGTGATTTAGGTTGTGTTGGCGCGCCACAACTACTAGCTTTTTAAAAAAGCTAGCTGATAAAATAGCTTATCAGCTAGCTTTTTTTAAAAAGCTACCTAGACTAGCTTTTCAGGAGCTTTTTTAATATTTTCCAAATATAACCTTAATTAATTATAAAAATAACATTTTTCTAAATTCCTTTTTATGCCATTTTATATCTTCCATCTAACTTATCAACTAGTTTTTACCAAACATCATTTTTTATCAGCTAGCTTATAAGATAGCAACTAGCTTTCAGCTAACAGCTACCTTTCAGCTATCAGCTGGCTTTTCAACTAACATCTAGCTTTTCAGTTAGTACGTCAAACATAACCTTACCTCAACCATGTTGGCTGTGGGACCGGTTGGGGGTAGTGTATACCCTTTTTTAGCATCCTACTTTTGTTTCTTTCTATTATAGCATAATATTTTCTATTTTTTTTCTTAGCAAGGCGTTGTACTATGAAAAAAAACCTACTTTATAACATTGTAGTTTCGATATTTTTTTCTTATTAAGACATTATACTTTGAAAAATCTATCCAAATATAGGAGTGAAAGATGCTATGTATTTGGATAGCATTGCTATAATTGGGTGGATTATATGAAGTACAATGTTGTAATTGGAAGAAATAAAAGTAGAAAGCTATAATAAACAAATCAATGAAAATAGATTGCTATAAATTATAAGCTGGCAGAAAATTGCAACTAAAATATAAAGTAGACACTTACTTTGGTTTTCTGGTGTGATTTTATTGATTGAATTGAAAATAGGAGGTGGGCAGATCTTTGATGAGAGAAAAGTTGCCAGTCCCTGTTCCAAATTTTATGCAATTAGCACAAGAACCATCAAAAAGGTGAAACATTGTTGCATAAAATTGGTAAACTTTAAACATTGTTGTATTCTAAAGATGTATTTTAACTCATGAGATAATGGGTCCCAGTTATAATGTTGGATATTTTGGTCCTAGAATGAAACAGGGTTGCACGTCTTTCGTCTAAAACAACACTTTATTGCATAAACTCATGCCATGAGTCAAGCAAAACTACAAACTGATGCACCCACAATCTGTAACATAAGTCATGAGTCATACACTATGGCCAGTGTACCCTCACTTGGGCATTTACACAAACAGATTGTGTGCATGCAAGGTACTTTTGAAAGTACTACCTTCAATGAACTCATGCACTTTGATTTCTGCCAATCAAACAATAGCAGCAACAAGCAAATGAAAAACGCAAAACGGGAGCAGAAAAAAAAAAAAAAAAAAAAACTCTGAACAAGATTTTCGATCAAGAAATTCAATTAAAGGAGCAGCAAAAAAACGCAAAGCATAAGGAGAAATAGCAGGAAATTCGGTTATTTCGATGATTCCTTCAAACAACCAAAACACTAGAGCAATAACGTGTTTTTCGCTAGAATTCGGAGAAGCGTGAATGTCGAAATGAAGCAGACATTCTTAGAAAATACTGACGGAGAAAAAGTTAAACATTTGAGATGGGTGTTGTAATCGTCCACAAATGAGTCGAACTCAGATCGAAACTCAACTACAGTGCTAAAGTAATAAGCCAAAATCTAATTCGTGGTGGTTTTGTGGTGGGTTTCAGATTAGAGAGATGGTGCAGGACTGCAGGTGAAGGCGAAGATGGATGAAAACCACAAAAAAAAAAAAAAAAAAAAAACAAAAACAAAAACAAAAAAAAAAAAAAGCTAAATTGTGTTACCCTTCTCTCTTGAGTTGGTGTCGAGAAACGTTGAAAATTCAATCAAGAGAGCAGCAAAAAAACGGAAAGCCGAAGCAGGAACAGCAAGAAATCGATACATACCTGTGCTGATGCTGATGAAATGAGCAAAAGGGGAAATAGCAGAGGCGATGCTGATGAACTCGTAGAGCAGAATAGCAAAGAGTAAGGGTGTTTGACTAGGCTTTTTAATAGGTTCTACGCATACGCAATACGCAACTTAAAAAAATATTTGGATGAAAGTAATTTGTGAATATTTGGATTAAAGTAATTTATTTCAATGTAACCTCTAATAAATCATTTTTTTCTTAAGTTATCCTACAATTACTTATTAATTAATAAGTTAATAAGTTATAAGCTAATAAGCAATGCCAAACACCCCCTTAGTAAGGAGAAACGAGAAAGGACAAGTGGATAAAACGAATCGTAATATAATTTGCTTTCTTTCCCTCACAATCAGTGCGGATATTTTGAGACGACAAAAGATAACATTTTTTTTTCTTTCTTTAAATTCGTTGTCGTTCTTCTTTAACGTGAGTTTTATAATTAAAGAAAGGTTATTATTATTATTATTATCATTATTATATATATAGCTAGGTTATTTTGTTTCTTACATTTATTGTATGCTATAATGCACCAATAGGAATTTAGTAAATTAAATAATTATTTAATTAAATAAATATAGATATTAAATGATTTCCATAATTATATGTATATTAAATGATATCCATAATTATAATTCTCTTTTTATGGAAACTAATTAAATCCGTCATTAATGTCAGCAATGACATTCTTTCAGAATGAATTCGCATCTAGATTTTTATATATGAGTTCGTATTTTATTTTAGGACTCATTCACTTAAAATACAATAAAGTCAAATGAAATATTAAGAACGAGAGTGTATTCTACTAAATGCACTCCCATTCTGTTGGAATATACACTCATTCTTCTAGATATGAATTCATTCTGAAAAATTATTATTGTTGACATTAATGACGAATTCAATTAGTTTCAATAAAAATGAGTTATAAGTATGGATAACATTTAATATACATATAATTAATACTAAATTCGTATTGGTGCATTTTAGCGCACAATAGATGTGAAAAACATTTGAACCTATATTTCTCTCTCTCTCTCTCTCTCTCTCTCTATATATATATATATATATATATATAGAGAGAGAGAGATATATATATATATATATATATATATATATATATATATATATATATATATATACTAGTGGCGTACCCACGCGATACGGCGGCGGCAACTAGTTTTTTTTCAGAAGATTGTTTCGACACGACGATTAGTTTCTTCGGCAGGCTGTTTTGTGCCAAATAGTACATTTCCATATATAGTTTCTTGCTGGATGTATAGCTTCGCAAATTGGGTATTCATAATTCGTTCAAATTAGTTAATCTAAGCCTAGATTTAGGTAGTTTAATAAGTAATAAATTAAATGGACATTAATACAAACTAAAGCATAAGTCAAATCAGTTGTAAAAGAGAGAATTTATATAGATGATCGTGAGAGAGTTGACCATCTTTTATTTTTGGATTGTTGTAATTTCATTTTTCCTTATCTCTAGCTCGGTTAACCTTTACTATGTTGGGTGGGTCATAAGACAAGAAAAGAGTACACTAACAATTACACAAATTAATCTAAAACAAATTGATAAAATAAATAAAAGAAATCAAGAAATATAAAAAAGCAACAATTTCATGGATAAAAGGTAGCAACAATGAAAGTAGTTTAGAGATTTTTTTTTTTAATACTGCATGTTTGAAAAAAAAAATTAAAGACAAAATTTTCATATATCCAAATTATTATCAAACTAAAATATGAAATTTTGAAGTTCAAATCGAATATCAAATTCCTATCCAAAATTTTAAGTAAATACTTTAATAATTATGATAGAATGGTAAATTCTACTTGAAACAACTCTACTCACGCGCAAAAAACTCAAATAATTTGAGTTCTAACAAGCTTTAGAAATAGAATCAGCCAGATCTGATTTCTAAAACAATACATTAAATACCTTTAAATTTTGAATACAAATGGTAATCAAGGAAAATATATAAAGACATTAAGTCTTTATTCTAAATCTCTTATATACAACCATCAAGAAATCAAAAAGGAAGTCGTATTTTGAAATGCCAACTCAAAATCTCAATTACAAACCTTAAGTTTAACAAATTTAACCTATACACTATAACAAGTAACTTTAAAATGCTAACTTAATCTTTCTTCTTGTTCACTTTCGGGGGTCAACCCTTGTATTTTCCTGCAATAAAAAGATTCACATTATTCCTACAGTAGATGCTGCTCGTTTCAAATAGTTTTTCTTATCATATCATAAATAAACAAAAAAAACTGTCTCTTCTTGATGAAATATTAGTCCTTTAAACGAATAACTGTCATAAACCAGCTTTCCTGCCCAAGAACAAATCAATAAGAATACATGAAATAAGCAGCAAACAAAGACATAAATCTCCAATAAACAGGTGAGCCAAAAAAACAATGGGGCAACACGTACCAATCAATGGAAGGGTTGCCATTTTGCATAAAAACCATATGTTTATACACCTAAAAAAGCCTTCACGGAATTGAAATAAAGCAAAGTAATAGTAATACCACCACCAAACCCCTTTAAGGGAAAAAAAGGTACACCAGTACAATGTATGTCATTGGCTTAAATACACAAGCTTTAAGCGGGGGATATTGCAATGGGTTAAGTCTACAAGCTAGGTTTGATACGTAGAGCCATCACAGGGCAACCAACAAAAGCATTACACTTCTAACTTATGAGGGTAACATAATAATAGCGATGAACTTACAAGGATGAACCAATAACAACAATGCACTATCAAGTGAAAAGTAGCAAAAGCAATGTACACTCAAAGGCAAACCAGAATAGGCAATGAACTTTCCAGTGAATTAGAGATAACAACTTTAGCCACAAGAACAACACCAATTTGAACCATCCATAAGACAAAAAACCTGCAGGGGCAAAATAGTCCAAAGTCAAATGAAAGGGGACACACATCAACAACTCAAGAAAAAAATACAGGAGCAAAATAAAGAAATCTAAACCAAAACACTATTTAAATCAATCACACAGTAAAAAGATAACACACAAGCATAAAATCGATTAATGAATCACACTGTAAAAAGAAAACATCAATCCAAGATTGCAGTTTGCAGGTGCTCTTTTTAATTTTAATGCGCCAAATTTCACTTACATATTTGAAATAGGTCTTGAATACATATTGGTTTGATACTATAGACCCTGAAGAGCAGCGACGATGTCTATGGTTCGCTCTTACTCATCCCATACTCATCTGTATCCCTTTGATTTGATTTATGCACCATTTTTCGTTCATGAATCCCTCTCCAGCTGTTTGTGGCCAAAGATCTGAGCATTATTCTTCTTATACAAAAGGGAATTTCAAAAAAAAAAAAAAAACTAAAATGACCGATGAAGGTTTCACCTGGACGGAATTTATCAACTTATGTCTGAAGCTCTAGGATTTTCTGCGAGAGTGCCAAAAACTGCAAGATTCCAAAAATAAATTAGTTCTGAAAGTTTACATTTACGATTTTAGCTCAAAATAAACCACCTCATGAACCAAGAGACCAGGGGGTGTTTGGGAAAAAATTTTAAGGTTAAAAGTCCGTTTTGTAAAAGGACTTTTTGGCTAGTGACTTTTTCTAAAAGAAAATCTTTAAAAAGTGTTTGTATTTGTTTTTTGGGTACAAGTTAACTTTTCAGGTTAAAAAGTCTCAAAAGTCACAAAAAGATAGGATTTTGTGACTTTTGGAACACTATCTTTTCCTTCTATACAAAAAGTCATTTTAAAAAATATTTTTCAATACCCAAACATCTTTTGGATATTTTTCAACTTTTTGGAAAAGTTAAAAGCCAAAAGTTGTTTTAAAAGCAATACCATGCACCCTACAGATCCAACATTAATATTTTAGCCATCAAAGTTTAAAGAAGCAAGAGAGAAAGAAAAGGAGAAAAAATGAGACAAAAAGATGAAAAAAGGTTATCAAAACTATACCCGATGACTGGATCCAACTTTCCTCTCAAGCTTCTTACAAACTTCATGTTTTTACGCATTTCGAACCCCTCTCTACAAATATGAGTGTGTTTGTCCCCTGTTTCTGTAAAAGAGAGAAAGGGAGAGATTGATAGAGATCTGTGACCACTAAAAAAATCAGACAGTCATATACGTGTTTAGAGTTTGAAGAACACTAACCGTGAAAATTGTCAGTATGGGTACTTCCATTTGTAAATGATATATTCTGATCTCAAGCCACCAGAATTGCAACGACAATAGGACAGGATGCCGGTAACCAAAAAATTGGGATATGTCGGTCTTGGGGTGAAAAAATATCCACAATTGTTGTGAAGGAAAAAGGTGATGTCATCGCGTTAGGTTTTTCAGAAAGGAGTGTGTTGAATTCAAATTTTGAATCGAGATTTGGGGAGGTAGAAGAAGAGAGCAGCGCTTTTAGGTCTGAGAAAGAGAGAGGCGTGTAAACAAAAATTAGGTTAATATGTGTTTCTTTGTGCTTAATCTTTTGTACATTGAGCTTCAAAAACTGTATATTTTTTCCTTTCATTTGGATTGGTTAATTTTGGATCACATGGATTACCATCTTTGGCCATTGAAATAAGAATGGAGGGTCAAGATTTCACCCCCTTGAATTTTAAGACATTAGGCTTAGTTTGTTGTACATCATGTTTAAAATGTTGTATTTAAGACATTAGATATGTATGCTTTATAAGATGGTATAGAGATATATAGATATATATAGATATAGATATATATATATATATATATATATATATATATATGTTAAGTTATTATGTTCTAACTATCTATTGTGTGGATGTAAGATTGATTGTGTACCAATCATTTTAGTTATTTTAAGAAAGTAATTAATTCACATTACATGTTAAAGAAATAATGTGTATTAATTAAATCTTCAACATTTAATATGCATTAATTAGTTTCTTAAAATAACTAAAATGATTGGTACACAATCAATCCTACATTCACACAATAGGAATAGATAGTATAAACATTTGAACCTAACTCTCTCTCTCCCTCTCTCTCTCTCTATCTCTCTCTCTCTCTCTCTATATATATATATATATATATATATATTAAAGGACGTGGTAAGTTTCAACAGGAAACTTCTCATCTTAATAAATTGACCACTTTATTTTACTTATTTATAATTTTGCCATTAAAGTTTCAACAAACTTTCATCTTTATAAGTTTGCCACTTTATTTTTATTTTTTTTTATATTTTTGCTACTAATCTTTCACTTTTATTTCCTTACAACCCTTTTTCTTTATACTTTATCATTTTCGTCTACCGTATTCTCCTATCATTTCTTTTTTCTAAAAAGATTCAGTTGTGACTTTTCTCACATATTTTTTATATTTTCTGAAAAGTGTCCAATTTCTTTAATCCATTTACAGTTTTGTCTCCCATTTTTTTAACATTATTCTATTTCGATACTTTTTTTCTTTTATTATCAATCCGAACTTTTTAACATTCAGACTTTCGTCACATGTTTTCTAAAAAGTTGCTAAATTCAATCAATTTTCTTTATTCTTTGTAATTTTCGTCTATCATATTCTTCTACCCTTCATTTTGTTTTCTAAAAAGAATGACCCGTGCAACGCACGGGCCTTTTCCTAGTTTATATGAAAACATAATAAAGTTTTTGGATTGGTTTTAAAAGGTCGTTAGAAATCTCTGACTCTATTAAAGTGCAAAATTATGTGTCATTTACATCCTTTTGAAATAGGTGAAGCGGTCACCCGGTCATTAACGGTGAATTGGACTTTGACCTTCGGTTTCATCACTTAAATGACATGTAAGCAACACTACATGGACTTTGGTTTAACATAAGTGTTCGAGAAATGTTTCATTTACACTCACAGTCGTTTTCTTCAATTGTTGAAGAGCAGAAAAATCTAGGGTTTTCTCCCTCAACTCGAGTAAGGTTCCTCTCATCTTAGATTCTTTTGAAGTTGGATTTTTAATAAAGGTGAAGTGCATGGCTAACAAAAACCCTGAGGCTATTTACTTCAAAGTGCATTTTCACTTTAATTGTGTTTTTACAAGACGCACATAGATATATTTGATGTGATACGTTCATGTTTACAAACCTTGATTTTGTTAGAATGGGTCATGAGGGTGTTGCACCTTTATAGAAAGGCTTATCGAGAACCTTTTGAGAAACTTTACTTCTTAGTATGTAATGAAACTTTTGCAAATGGACTTAGGGTAAATAGAAAAGGATTTCGACTATGCTATTTCTATGGATACTGCTTACCAAGCGCAAAAAAAGTCATCATATTGGGGATGGATTTGAGGACTGGTTGGACGAAGAAAGTGACGACACTGGTTCAGTGACCTAAGGGATGATAAAGAACCTTCACAATGAACCCCTGATCCTGAACCAGCCCATATGTTTGATGCTGGTTTGGAAGATGAAATCAATGGGGAATATTGTACCCCTCTAAAAAAGATCAAGGATGATGAATTTCTTAACAAGTTATGTCTAGAAGGCGGAGAAGGGAAAGGGAGTGAACATAAGAATACCAGTGAGGAGTTAGAGAATGAATTTATTGAGGAACATCCCATCATCAATCCTTAGGTACACTGGAAGAAGCAAGTACCAATTCTAGGCATGAGATTTGAGAACCCTAAACAACTTAAGAGCATGTTATGTAATTATGTAATTAAGAGCGGATATCAACTATAGTTCAAAAAAGAATGTCAGTAAAAGGCTTCTAGTATTGTGTTGTAAAAGTGCTTGTACTTCCAGGCTATAGGCAATTTCGATGTGTATAGAACACAGTTTTTAAATCAAATCACTAAAAGTTGATCATCAATGTGCTAGGAACTAAAAACTAGGTTTAATTGTCACTTACCGATAGATTGGTAGCCACTACATCAAGGAGATTTTGTGTAGAAAAAAACTCATAAGTAGGCAACTGAGATTGGAGGTCATCAAGAAATTTAGTATTGAAGTTAGTATAAGCCATTGCAGAAGGGCCAAAAAGCATGCCATGAATATTATTGAATGTACCCTTATTGAGCATTATGCTAAGCTTTGGTCTTATAGAGAGGAAATTGAAAAATCAAATTGTGGTTCAACAGTAAGCATGGATGTACTTACAATGTCGGATGGTACAAATCACTTTAGTAAGTATTATGTTTGTTTTGATGGTGTAAAGAAGGGGTGGTTAAAAGGGTGCAGGATGGTGATTGGCATAGATGGTTGCTTCTTGAAAGGTTACATTTTTGGTGAGTTGCTGTATGTTGTGGGGAAAGATGCTAGGGAACAAATTTGCCCAATTGTCTGGGTAGTAGTATGTGTTGAAAACAAGGAAATCTAGAAATGGTTTCTTTCAATATTAAGTGATGATCTCAATCTTAGTATGGGAGAAGGTTTCACTCTTATGTCATACCAACACAAGGTAAGATCATCAATATTTGATGTGTTCTCTTTCACAAAGTATGTTACCATATTTATATCTAACTACTTTATATGTTGGTATAGGGTCTTATGGAATCTGTCAAGGAATTTTTACCCCAAGTTGAGCATAGGCAATGTGCAAGGCACATTGTGTCCAACTATAGTAAAAGGTTTCCAGGGACAGAGTTTGTTAATTTGTTTTGGGTTGCTTGTAATTCAACAATAAAACAAGCTTTTAATGCAATAATGGAGGATATGGAGGCTTTGAGTATAGCAACAAGTAAATACTTAATGGAAAAGGACCTTAAAACATGTTCAAGAGGATACTATCAACTTGGTAGATGCTATGCTAGTGTTGAGAATGGAGGATGTGAAAGTTTCAATGCGGTCATAGTTGAAGCCAGGAAGAAACCAATCATCACACTGCTTGAAGAATTCACAATGTATATGATGAACAAATTGTTCAAATCGAAA